ATAAATGAAAATATAAATAAATACTTACATCTCTTTGTATTTGCGAGGTGAAACTGGACCCCATTGGTTTTAGTTTGACCCATTCCTTGTTCGCAATTTCAAGTAATCGTTTTTCCATATAGATTTGTTCAGTGACCGTCTTTGGCAGATGAGCATTTGTTAGTTCCTAAAAAAATAGTAAAAAACTTGAGGATATATAATACACTAATCCATTCCATACGAAGAAGTCATCATCATAATAAACACTTCCCATCATTTAACTAACTTTTACCTACGTACTGGTTTAACAACCCATATGTAGTAATTAACAGTCCACTAGTTGCCATGTGTCTGGATTAAAATCATAAAGTATGAATTAACTATCCATATGCTAGTTAACAGTCCATATATGAAAATTAAAACAGTGTATATACTGACAGTCACCGTACTAGTTAACAGTCCACAGTCAACATATGCTGTTCCTAATGTACTGGTTAACAGCCCATATGAATAGCTTAACAGTTTATGATTACTGTTTAACAATGAATATGTGCCAGTTGACATACAAATGTACTGATGAAAGTCTACATAATGGATTACAAGTCACTTATGCTGGTTAACAGTATCTTAATTGTGCTGAGTACAAATTTATGAAAATACTTACATTATATGCAAATTTGATAGCAGTTGGTAGTCGGCTTGCTATAGCCAACGAAGGATGAAATTCCAGAAGGTACACATGGCTTAAAGCTGGCCTAAGTTATAAAATAAAATGAAATACTATTATGAAAATATATTGCTTACTGGAACATTATAGAATACACTACTTCCTCAGAAAGATGAGTATGTGTTCTATGATTGGAGAAATAATGTATCAATATAAGGACAGGGTCTTAATGTGTTATAGAAAGGACTGACAAATGAGATATTATTATTTATATCACTGATTACAATATATAGAATATTTACCTGCTAAGGTTGATAGCAACAGGCTGTTTAGGGATGATACGGTGAGGCAGTCCAAAGTCTCTATCACCATCTCTACACACACGCTGAATATACTCCCTCTGATCTTGAATCTGGCAAACAAATGGTTTATAAACATAAAAATAATTGCAATTATCATGGGAATTTGGACCACTTTTCATATTGCTATGCTTCCTCCATCTCTCCCCCACCCTAAACAAGTGGTACCCAGTCACAACCAGGAAGGTTCCCCGATTCGACCAGACCAAACATCATGACTAAAGGCTGTAGACAATTGAGTGTAGCAATTTTGCGGAGACAAGGCTTAATTTGAAAGTTCAAAACTTTACTTGCATGACCACATATGACCCTGCTGAAGTCACATTGTATAATGATGACAGCAGCAAAGTTATAGAAGATAAGTAAATGAACGTTTATTGAAATACCTGTTTGTCAAGTATAGACTTAACCAGCTTACAATTAAGTCTCAACACTATACTCTCCATTTTGTAATTGCTGACGAAATATTTTGATGCAAAATCCAATCGAGGGCGCTTGTAAATTATATCTGTGATGGTCTGAGCCAGCGCACGCTTCTCATGCATGTCAAACACATGTTGGTAGGCTTCCAAGTAGCAATCCAGCAGCTGAGAAATCATACAATATTGCTACCATAAGATGCAAATTTAATACAACTACAAATATTATAACCCACACACTGGCCCTGTCTTCAATGTATCCAGTAAATAAAATGCTTTGAATTATTTAAAAAAACTCAGAAAAATTAATATTTTCAAAGTTTTAACAAAGGGCAGGCATCTCAAAAAATCATACTCAAAAATGAAAATTATGTGCTCAGACTATTATTTTTAAAAAACTATAATTAATTAATAAAAACACAAGTTAAAAAATATGATTTTGAATATATAATTCTAACCTGTCTCTTATTCTCAAGATATTCTGCTTCATTTGTCCAAAGGTCCAGTAACACTGCAAAGCGGTCAATTTGAAGATGACCATAGCTAGGTAGATCAACACCCCCAGAAGCTGCTAATACCTGTACACAACAAAAACAATTAATAAATGATGTTACAATTTTACATATTCTAAATTCAAAGAACTAAGTATGAAGGC